AATCTGCAGATTCTGAAATATCTCACACCACAAATACTCAACAAACATCTTCTTCTGGTAATTTAATCTTGGGTTATGTTCTTATTTATATTTGGACTCACTTGTCCACTAAATTTTGAGGCTCTAATCTTATGTAAAGCTGATTATAACTGTGGATGTTGGAATTAGAGACATCTATCTTCTTCCCCTTATTTTTTTGGGCCATTCTTGTTTTTTTTTTTTTTGATCTGAAAGAAAACATATTAAAAAAAAATTATTTTCAAAGTATTGTATATGAATGATTGGATGGGCATTATTGGATCGGAAAGCTAATCTGAAACAATTATCAGTTCGGTTCGAATCGAGATTAGTTGAAATTTAAACCTTCTAATGAAAATTATAGCCGATTAAATTATACGAACTTGCTATTATATTTATATATTTTAATTCAAATTTAGCAAGAACTTTTGTTTATTTGGTTAGTTTTGATCGAACCAAATTTGATTTTCATTTTTTTGGATTCGAGTCAGATAATTTAGTTCAGACTCAACTCAAAAAGTTGATACGGTTTAATGGTACACCAACTTAAATGTGTTCTATGCATTTTAATGTAAATAAACATGTTTGGTTAAAACTAGAAAAAATGTATTGTTTCTTGGGTAGTCTTCACATACTAAAATTAATCCACTTTTGTCTTTCAATCACACGAAGATTTCTATGAAAAAATTACCAGTAATCTTGACAGAAAAATCAATTTTTAAAGATAAGTTATGAACCAAGAAACAATTATTTAATACATACTACTAATAAGCAGTCAAAGTTGTAGACTTTGTGGTCTTCTGGAAGAACTACTTTGCTTCTTCGATTTTGCAGGTTACCTGAAGATGATTATCCTGGTAACCTTCGTCGGAGCCTTGGCATGGGTTTATCAATCAATCCAACCACCACCACCTCCGAAAATCGCCGGCGTGACATCGCCGAGGATCAAATTGAGAGACGGAAGACATTTGGCTTACAAGGAATTCGGATTTCCTAGAGACGAAGCCAAATTCAAGATCATATATATCCACGGCTTCGATTCTTGTATGCGCGACTCACCTCTCACCTATTTCTTATCTCCGGTAAGTTTTTCCGACCAATTTCTTTAAAAAACAACAACAAAGCTTCCGTCTTTAGTGAAGCTTANTGAGTAAAAGAGGTATTTTTGTTAGGCTCTCGTGGAGGAATTGAGGATATACACTGTGTCTTTTGACCGTCCTGGTTATGGAGAGAGTGATCCTGACCCGAACCGGTCACCGAGAAGCATAGCATTGGATATAGAAGAGCTTGCTGATGGGTTAGGACTAGGACCTAAGTTTTATGTCTTCGGTCACTCCATGGGCGGTGGAATCACATGGGCATGCCTTAAGTACATTCCTCACAGGTACTCCATTTGACTCTGCCTTGTTTCTCATTCAATAACATTCCATGTGATTGTGCCAGTGGATTCTGAGTTTTGAGTCCATCTCTTGGGCAAAGATATTAACTTTGATCTTGAAACAACAGCTAAGATGAAGCCATGTGAAGGGGTTTTTGTTTTGTTTGTTATGGACTTTGTTAACAGATTAGCAGGAGCCGCGCTTATAGCACCGGCGATTAACTACTGGTGGAGAAACTTACCGGGAGACATAGCAAGAGAAGCTTTCTCTCTTATGTTTCCTGCAGATCAATGGGCTCTCCGAGTAGCTCACTATGCTCCTTGGCTTACATATTGGTGGAACACTCAGAAATGGTTCCCGTTCTGCAATGCGATTACGGGTAACCCCGTGATTTTCTCCCGGCAAGACATAGAGGTCTTGTCTAAGCTTGGATTTGCCACACCAAATCAGGTACAAGCACATATATAGATGATGTTTGGTTTGCAAAATCTTCATGTGGGTTGATTTGGTTTCCATATCATAAGAGTTTGATACTTCCTGCTACACTTTTGAGGAAGTGATTTTTGGAATTCAAATGATGTGTTTGCTTTTTCAGGTATACGCAAGGCAACAAGGTGAATACGAAAGCCTACACCGAGATTTGAATGTTGGATTTTCAAGCTGGGAATTCGACCCGTTAGATCTCAGAGATCCATTCCCGAACAAGAATGGCTCGGTTCACCTTTGGCATGGCGACGAAGATAAGTTTGTGCCAGTGAAGCTTCAGGGTTATATCGCATCAAAGCTTCCATGGATCCGTTACCATGAAATCTCTGGATCAGGACATTTGTTACCTCTTGTGGAAGGTATGACTGATAAGATCATCAAATCACTTTTGGTTGGGGAAGAAGAGGTAAGTGAGAGTATTGAAGCTTCTGCCTGAGTCGTCAGTGTGGTTCCTATTTTCTTAAGGACGAGTAATTGTTTGTACTATATTTGTTGAATTTCAGACATATCTTTTCTGCTTGCAATGGCTACAACAAGTACAATTATGATCAACGA